CAATAGACCCGGACTTAGACACTAGAACATTACAGGAGGACCTGGATAAAATAAGGGAGTGGGCAACTATATGGCAGATGAGATTTAATGTTGAAAAATGTAAAGTAATGCATTTTGGGGTTAAAAATAGGCGAGAGGAATACACATTAATAGGTACTCCACTAGGGAAGTCAGAAATGGAAAAGATCTGGGGGTCATAGTAGACCACAGATTAAACAATAGTAGAGCTGCAGCTAACGATTATTTTCAAAATCTATTAGTTAGCCGATTATTAAGTTCGATTAATCGGATAAAAATTAAAATACATTTAAAAAAATGGCTCCAGTGATGGGACTACTAGTTTGTATTGAGAGTGCAGTCCATCACAGGAGCAAGCTTGGAGTGGTGGAAGTAAAAAAAAGAAAAAAAAGTGTGGTGTGCAATATAGTGAAATGAAAAGTGTAAAATTATACAGCAATCAATGCAGAATGGCACCTGCTATAGAGGACTCCAAAACCCAGCAATAGTACATTATACAGCACAATTTAGAATACCACCAGCTATAGAGGAATACAACAAATCCCAGCAATAGTACTTTATAGCTGGCGGTATTCTGCATTGCGCTGTATATAATGTATTATTGCTGGGTTTTGTAGTCCTCTATAGCTGGTGGTATGCTGCATTGCGCTGTATAATGTACTATTGCTGGGTGTTGTAGTCCTCTATATAGCTAGTGGTATTTGGCATTGCACGACTGTATAATGTACTATTGCTGGGATTTGTTGTACTCCTCTATAGCTGGTGGTATTCCGCATTGCGCTGTATAATTCCTTGATTTGTAGTCCTCTATACAGCGCAATGCAGAATACCACCAGCTATATAGGAATACAACAAGTCCCAGCAATACATTATACATACAGTGTACAATGTATTGCTGGGATTTGTATTCCTCTATAGCTGATGGTATAATATACAGCACAATGTACCATCAGCTATAGAGTAATGCAAATCCCAGCAATACATTATAGAGCATAAGGTGGGGAGGAGGTGTGGCGCGCAGCGTGTGTGGAGCTGTGAACGGGGCCAACCAATCGGAAGCCGATTAATCGATGATTGAAAAAGTTGACAACTTTTTCAATCATCGATTATGTCGATTAGTTGTTGCAGCCCTAAACAATAGTATGCAATGCCAGGCTGCGGCAAATAAAGCGAGCAGAGTACTGCCTTGAAGTAAAAAGGGAATGTACTGTAGAGACAAAGCAATCATTTTGCCACTTTATAGATTACTGGTTTCGGCCTCATCTCGAGTATGTGGTCCAGTTTCGGTCACCAATCCACAGAAAATATGTCCATGAGCTCGAGAGCTATGAGACAAGGTTACTATGTTCAAGCTATAAGTGAGGAGATTACGAGGGGACATGATTTGATGTACAAAATGTTTAGTGGTAATGGCAACATCAGAAATAAACTTTTTAAAGTAAACTCCATAACAAAGACTAGAAGCCACCACCTAAAACTGGTGGAGAAAAGATTTAACCACAAGGGGCGTAGGGGCTTTTTTTCATTCAGAGCGGTTAAAGTCTGGAACTCGCTGCCACAAGCAGTGGTATCAGCTGAGAGTATTGCATCTTTCAAAAAGCATTAAGATACCTTCCTCAGAGACCGTTACATACTGGGGTACAGGTACACTTAAAAACAAGGTCACACAGGGACTCGTGTACAAATATACACATGTACAATCACACACAGAGGTTGAACTTGATGGACCTGTGTCTTTATTCAACCTCAAATACTATGTAACTATGTAACTTTTAAATCTAGCTTCAAGCTGCCATTAGCGTTACTGGGCCTCACCCCAAGATCCTGAGAAATTTGATCGTCCCATATCTCACAAGAAAATGCTCCAGGACAGTGCAGGAGCAAATTCTCAGAGTACTTGGGATCCTATGTTTTCCCAGTTTACTGTCAGAAAGCCCAGTGATGTCACCCTTACTCAGGCGAGTACACCAAATGCCAGGCTGTAAAGTATTTCTATTTAGAATTTTCTTTCCAGTGTTTTTTATTCCTTTTTTGCTTTGTTAGCATTTTTTATTCCGTGTAAGGGAAGCTGCAAGATAAGCAAACATTGCATTTACAAAACTTGGTCACTTAACTGAGCATAGTATAACAGAAATGCATAATCAATGGTTACCTTCAGTAAATATTGCATTAAAAAGCGCACATTTTAACATCGGTGTGAACAGGGGCCATTGAAATGAACGGGATTTGCTTTGTTGAGAGTTTTTTCTCTGAGCTTTGAGCGTCAAAAATGCCTACTTGTGAACAGGGGCTAACTTGTATGTTTGTTTTTGGTTTTATCAGTTTGTGATGTAAAGGCTAAATACCTTAGAACCCCCTTTCCTTTGGGTATTCTATATAATGTCATGTATCAGTAAATATTTTGTGAAATTTGGAATTTTATTTTTGTCATGGGCAAGGCATTTGCTTTCATTGTACATTAAGCTTTTAAATAACAGATTTAACTTCTTTCTCACAGATACTTGATTCTTCCGTTGCTTTTGTGGCCACTCTACAGCAAAATCCAAGTTCTAATACACAGCATATGGACTCTTTTAATATCATATTCAAAATCGTATTATGCATCTATATGAATGATTTAGGGGGCCTGTACTGTGGTAACCCAAATACATGTGTAAAGCCACCTCTAGTTACATAATTGATTCCTTTATGACCTGTTCATTTATATAAAAAAAAGTTATAGTCAAAGTTACATTCAGTAGATTACCTAATTTTATGAGCCATTTTAATTTTGCCATTATCCTAACAATGTTTTGTTTTTTCTTGTACAGGATGAAGATGAGGTGGCACAAGATGTTCCTGCTACTTTGTATGGCTGGCCTTTGTGTGATCTCTGTACTTCATTTCCTGAAGGCTCTTTCCTATGTTTCTCTATCCCGGGAATTGGTTTCACTGAGTCCAAACTTCATCTCTGGCTTCTTCTGGGAGTCGCGACCCTTGTTACTTCAACATGTAGAAAGGATGGATGATGGTGCCCAGCTTTTGCGCACTCCAGGTTACTATTGGCCCCCTCAGCTTTCTGCTCAGCAACCCAAGCCTCCACCTTCATCACATGGCGAAGGTCTTCGCATAGAGGACATGCATCTGAAAGAATTTGTGTTGCAGGAAGACACAGCAGAGTATTTTGTGAGAACCAAATCTGGAGGTGTATGCTTCAAACCAGGTACAAAGTCACTAGACCGCCCACTTTCTGAGAGACCAGAAAAAACCTCTCCACGCAAATCATCCTCTGGTGTTTTGCGGCAGCAACAACAGCAAACCCAGAGACGTAGGAAATGGGTGGAGTGTGTGTGTTTGCCAGGGTGGCATGGACCTAGTTGCGGGGTGCCCACAGTTGTTCAACACTCCAACCTCCCAACAAAGGACCGGTTAACACCACGCCTAAAGCCACGTCGTGTTATTAATGCCATTAACATCAACCATGAATTTGACCTCCTGGAGGCACGGTTCCATGAACTTGAGGGGGCTGTGGATGTCTTCTTAATATGTGAATCAAACTTCACTGCTTATGGGGAACCACGACCTCTCATATTCCGCCAAATGCTTTTCAATGGAACGTTTGATTATATTAAATCAAAAGTGATGTATATTTTCTTGGACCACTTCCCAGAAGGGGGTAAACAGGATGGGTGGATAGCAGATGACTATCTACGAACATTCCTGACTCACAATGGAATATCTCGATTAAAAAATTTGCGAGATGATGATCTCTTTATCATAGATGATGCTGATGAGATCCCAAGCAAAGAAGGTGTACTATTCCTTAAACTTTATGATGGGTGGACAGAGCCCATTGCTTTTCACATGCGCAAGTCACTGTATGGCTTCTTTTGGAAGCAACCAGGAACCCTGGAAGTAATTTCTGGCTGCACCATTGGAATGCTTAATTTAGTATATGGCACAGACGGCATACGCCTCCGCCGAAGGGAATACTATACTATGCCCAACTTTCGTCAGTATGAGAACAAAACAGGACATATATTGGTTCAGTGGTCTTTGGGAAGCCCTTTACATTTTGCTGGCTGGCACTGCTCATGGTGCTTCCCACCAGAAGGAATCCATTTCAAACTGATTTCTGCACAAAATGGGGATTTCCCAAGATGGGGGGACTATGAAGACAAAAGGGATCTGAACTACATAAGGTGGCTTATAAAGACAGGGGGTTGGTTTGATGGGACCAAACAAGAGTATCCAGCGGCTGACTCACATGAGCATATGTATGCCCCGAAATTTATCATGGAAAACACCAAACATTTTGGATATTTAATTAAAAACCCTTATAGCTGAGGTGCTTTTTGGGAAGGGAATGCTATAAACGGTACAATTATCTTCAACTGCTTTGAATATCCATTTAGGATTCTTTTTGTTTATTTGCACTCTCATAGTTCCACTGGAAAGGAGGTTTCCCACTAACTAGAGAGGAAGGTAACTAAGGTAGATCAATACTCAGGAGATTGATGGTAGATATGGTTACCCACCATATGACTGGTATTTCAACAGTGATACAACATAATGTATATTTTGTTAGTGCAGCTGTTTATGCAATGTTGCATGTTTACATATCTTTCCAGTGAAGTTGTGGGAAATTGGCAATGTGCTGCGCTGTGAAAACGGAGAGTTAATGATCATGTTACAAAATTATAAAAAAAAATTAAAAAAAGTATGACTGTACTTCCAGGGCCCTATACCTGCCTATGTATTTACATATGCAAAATCCTTTTGGCTTTGAAGTCCCTGTGATTTTCTAACAAACACTCCTTGGCACCAAATCAGGTGCATTCCATTACCCCTTAGAAGGTTGGGCCTGGAAAGCCATTCTAACACTGTTCTGTAACATGATCAATATAAAAGGATTTAGATGTGGTATATTTAATTACATCAGCATCAGTGCCAATGTACTTCAGGCTTTGAGGGATTAATAGTATGGCAAAGTAGCAGTAATTATAAAGCACTTTTTTTCTTTTGGGCCTTTTGTGCACCCCATGAGGCATTTTTTGTGTCATTGTTATCGCTAATTTTTTTTATTTCTGAGTTGATCATACTTAAAATTCAGAGAGCAAAGGCAGACATGATTTAAATCCATTTTTCTCAAATTTGTGGCTCAAGGTCCACTAAGAGGACAGGTTTTCAAATTCACACCCAGGTGAAAAAAAATGGACTCTATGATTTGTTTGTTATATAAGACATCACAGCCCCGAACAGGAATTTGTTTCCGGAGGAGCAGGGTAAAAGAAACCTGCTTAACACATGTAAGGCATCCATTTATGAATTTGTGATATAATTTGGCTTGCAGCTCTTTGTAGGCTAGTTTGTTCAAAGTAGCACCATAAAATACTTTTTGCTCCAGTGAGTCAAGGTGTGTGCTCTATGGCAATCTCATTATTATTATGGCTACTGTTTCCTATAACTTGTCTCCATGTCTATAATCTTTTACCGCTCCGTATAATACATTGCAGTTTGCCAAACTATATTACAGACTTACCTATTGCTCTTCTTTTGATGTGTGGATTCCAAATGCTACCTGCTTTCTAAGTGGTAGGGGTCAACTGCTGTGGTCACTAGCGATGCACCGATACCGGTATTTTGGTACCGAGTACGAGTACCGCAAAAAAATTTTTTCCGGTACTCGCCGATACCAATTACAGAGTAACGGAAGTCCCATTCAGGAAGCCAGGTGGCGTGTAATGACTTGCCACCTGGCTTACTGATTAGCCAGGAAGCCGGGCAGCGTGTAAAGTGTCGCCACCTGGCTTCCCGATTAACAAGAAAGTCCCCTCTTACCTTAGTATGTGCAGCCTGTCATCCCCCAGGGCCTCTCCAGCGAGAACGTGGCCTTCGTCCGGTACCCAGCCGGAGCCGTCTGGCCGGCCAATCAGGAAGCCGGGCGCCGTGTGATGACGCGACACCCTGCTTTCTGATTGGCCGGGAGGCCGGCTCCATGCTCTCGTCATGAAACCGGAAGTACTCGTGCTAGGCATCGGAGCATTTGGGCGAGTACGAGTACTTGCCCAAATACTCGGAATCGGCAATGATATCAATACTAGTATCGGTATCGGTGCATCCCTAGTGGTCACATAATCAGTCCCAGTTATATAATAACGGCAGAGAAAGCAGTCAGAGAATCAAAAGCAGGAAATTACATTTCTAGGTGTGATTTGTACAGAATTCCCCTAGTGTTTCCTTGGTTACAAGGAAACAATATTTTGAGCTTTCTGACAGTTTTTGGGAAAAAAAGAGGAAAAATGGAAAGGTGTTTTTATTAACACTTATTAGCAGTAAGACATAGCACCTAGTACAAATTTACTCTGCTGAAGTTGGACCAATACAAGGTTGATTCTGATTTGTGGTATGGGTAACCTCACTTAAAGGGAATGTATAGTCTTTTCAATTTTGTTGATATGTGAAAAAGATCCGCTCGATATAAACAATCATATCAATGTGTGTTAATCTTAAAAAAAAGAAGTGTTTCTTTGTATAAAATGCACTTCTATATCTTCACAAGGGCAGCCATATTGCTCATTACATATGCAGGCTCTTCTTCCTTCTGTATAGTGCTACATAATGGTTTTGCTTTACTGCTTCTCACAATGCAAGTCTGAGTTGGTTGTTTATTGAAATCAATGCATTTCCTAGTGGCTAATCTACTATTCTCTACATTTATAAGAGAACTATGGGGTAAGGGTTTTTCCCCATAAGGGTCACGGGAGGACATACACTAGCGTCCTCCCGTGACCCAAAGCTCAGTATATCGCGAGCTATAGCTCGTGGTATACTGAGACCGCTGCAGCCAGGACGGATCCCGACAATGCTGTCGATATCCACCCAGCCGTCCCGTACCGTCCCCTCCTCCGTCCGTTCTTCCAGTCAGCGCTGGAGGAGCAGGGGGGTGGGGGGATCACCGCTCTCTGCAGGGAGATGATCGAGAAGTAAGCGATCGACGATATGCGTTCGCTCACTTCCCGATCTATTGAGCCGACGTGTGACAGTTTCATTGTCGCACGTCGGCTCGAACTATGAGGATGAGTGATTTTCACTCACCTCATAGTTCTCCTTTTAATAACATAAAAAAAGAAGAGCAAGCTTGTAAATATGTGATGAACAGGCCAATCAGTTTATTGTAAATCCTGCAATAATCATTTAAAATATGTACACTATACTTTCCCTTTAAGAACTGAGACTTAAAGTGTATTCATGGGCAAAATCATAAATTACATATGTTGCAGTCTGTCTCTGGCTTCAC